TATTCCTCAGATCAGAGAGTTCCTGTCCTTTCCCGTCACATGTGGTCACACTGGAGAGAGAGGGCAGCTGCTCCCGAACGCGCCTTTCCTTACAGAAGCCAGTTGGGAGGGTGGGCGGGAGCCAGAGACGTGGGCAGTCTGTGCAGGACTGGGCGGACGGGTTTGTCCTGCATTCCAGTTAGCCTTGTCACTTGCAGTCTCTGCCCATGTTTGCCCCGAGGGCTTGGGTGATCTGTCCCTGTAGCTGCAGGTGGCTGTTGCAAACCTCTGCTGGTGGTGGTGGAGTTCCTAGAAAGAGCAGCTCTTTCAAAATCAAGTGTCCTTTTCCAGGCTGGCGTTAACATGCTTGTATAAAGCAGCATCTGTCTCCTCCCAACAGAGCAATGTCCTGAATGCCATCCTGCTTCTCATGAAGGAACTGGATGCAGAGGGTCTGGAGATCGTCCAGCAGATGGTGGGGAAGAGGCTCCAGGCCTTTCAGAAGAAGGAGCTGCAGGAGGAGTGATGGTGCCCAGTACAAACCTCCCAGGAGCACCAGCCAGCCCCAGACCCACAGCGCCGTTCTTCCCACATATACCTGGCTACAGCCAAAGCCTCGGCGTTTTCCACTGCGCTTCCCCTGTGGAGGGGCTGGGATGGGGTGCTGCTGGCTGCCCCTGTAGCTCCTGACGTCTCCTCTGGCTGTGCACATCACGCTGGGGCTGGCAGCACCCAATCTGGCTCTCGGGAGCTTTCCTGCTTGCGTAGCAGTCTCTGTTAACATTTGTATCTCATGTTGCCAGGGCTGTTTGATGGGAGCTGCAGGGGAATCAGCAAAGCAAAAGTGAGCAGGGCTTCTGTGCGGTGTGATCGAAGGGGGATGGCAAAGCCTGCTGATGGCTAGAAAGGTCACTGCTTGTCGGTGGCTCCCTGTCAGACTAACCCTCTGCCAGCCTCTGCTTGTGTGTAGCAGACTCTGAAGGCGGCTTCTACCACAAAGATTTGGTTTTGTGAAGTCTGTCGGGGAGATGGTTCCTGAAATGATCACCGAGAGCTGTCTGGTGCAGATTGTGAAGGTCAATGTCAAATTCTTAATTTATCTTCAACTCCTGACTTCTTCTGGTCCTTGTTAGTGCATGAAGCATCTGACTTGGCGGTCAGGCAGCCCAAAGAAAAGTTCGATGCAGCCTAGGTGAAACAGAAATTACTCTCTCCCAGATCCTGAATGCTCAGCTCTACTCTCACCCCCACATGCCCCTGCAGGCATTAGAGCAGCTTAAGGAAACTTAACGTCAGAGTGAACAGCCCCCGCGCGTATTGCAGTTAGGAGAAAACAGCCAAGGTTACTGGCCGGTTTGCACAGGCATCAAGGGTGACGTTTCTCTAACCGAAAAAGCTGCATTTACTAAGATTTTTATAGAGCTGTTAAATACAAACTAAAACATTGTGGCATACCAAATAAAACCAGTTATCCCTGTAAGATGTCAAAGTTGTGGCTGGGGTTCAGCAAACATAGAACAACTGACTCTGGGCATTGCTCCATTACATCTGGTTCACGGCTTGCATTGTCAGCCCTGTGGAGCAGGAGGAGGGCTGTGGGCCGCCGTGCCCTCCCGCTTCACTGGACCTGTGAAATGGCTCACCCGCCTCTGGTGCTGTTTGATACTCCACTGAGCGGCTGCAGGGCTGCTTTTCAAAAGCGCTGTGCTATTTGGGAACCTTCTCGCAGCCACAAGTCCACACTGAGCACAGGAAGCAAAAGAGATGGTGAGCAACGCTTGCTTGCTTGTGCAGAGGTGCAAAGCCTGCCCGGGCAGGACGATGGCCCCTGAGACTTACGACAGGAGCCCTCTGTGCGGCTCAGCTGCGGGCCTGGTGCTGCGCAGGGCAGCGTGGCCCTTCTGTGTCCCCACGCTCCCTGTTCGTACAGGTGTCCGAGCCCCCGCGTGCGGGGTCGTGCTGCTGGCAAGGAGCGCTCCTCGGGGACGGTGACAGCCCTGTGTCCACAAGCCTGTTTACTTGACCTTGGTGGGAGGGGGCACAGTTTGACCCTCGTCACTTGGGTGAAGATTGCTGATGCCTTTTACTCCTCAAATGACCTAGTTCTTGCCTGCTGCATTAAACCCAGCTGCATTTAAATGGCCAGTTTGATTTATAATATACCAGACTTCCCTTGACAGCCAGGGCCCGAGAGACTTACCCGTCATCTTGTTTGGATCTTGCTCTTGTGCTGAGGGCAAGCCCTCTCCCAGGCTGTCTTGACAGCCTGCTCCTTGGCAGAAGTCGTGCCTGTCCGCATTGGGAACGGGGAGCTGCCGTTTGGGCGTGCTGGACCCCCCAGCTTTGCTGGGAGGAGAGCGATCAAAGCAAGAGTCACGGTTTGTCATCAGAGCTTGTTATTGGTGAAGGTGGTTAATGGAGCAATCGCCATGGCCTGAGGCTGCTCTGGCACAGTTCCTCCTCTCTCCGCTGGAGCAGTTGAGCTGTTAATCCCCAACTGGACAGCATGACTATCCTGTAGCTCCTGACATCTCCCCTGGCTGTGCACATCACGCTGGGGCTGGCAGCACCCGATCTGGCAGCACCCGAGCTTGCCACCTACGTGCCATGCTCATCACACTTTGCTGCTGGTGCTCCTGCTGCTGGGCAAGCTGCCCTTCATTCTCCTGACCATTCCTTGCGGGGTGACCCCACAGCATCCCACTCGCTCTCGGCACAGCCCAGGGGGAGGCTGGCCCCTTCGGCTCAGGCCTCTCTGCTCTGGGGACCTGGCAGCCTGCCTTTTGCTGCAAAATGCTCGTGGCTTTGTGCTCTACCCTCTGTTTGGGGATGCAGGGGAAGCTGGGGCTGGGCTGGATGTGTCGGGGAGCCCGGGTGCACAGTCACCACATCCCCTCCTGCTCATCCTGGCAGGGCATGGGGTGGTTGCCCCCCCATGGGGGGCATGTGCCTGTTCGTCTCCCCCTCAGGAATTTGGCACTCCAGGCTTTTTTTTGTGTGGAAATGAGGTGTTTGGGCTGCAGTGACCCCTGGCCCCAAGTGTGCAGCTGGTCCGAGTGTGGAGACACCTCCCTCCCCATTCACACCCTAAACGTGGCCGCTGGAGCGCTGCAGTGCCGTGCCAGCCCCTCTGGTGCCCTGCCTGCTGCCGAGAGCACCAGGCTGGAGAAAAACATGTGCTGGAGAGGAGCCGAATGCCCGGGGCCTGCCAGCTGCGCCTGGGCACGAGGCTCCACCTGGGCTACGGTACAACCGCGGGGCTTTTTGGCGTGACTTGCTTTCGCCCTGACCTGCCTCAGCGGGGGATATTGAGCAGTGAGGGCAGACATTTCCCGGTCATGGAAAATGCCAGCAGCTGTCTGCCCGCAGGGGCAGATCCAGCGCAACTCACGTTCAAAGCATCCTTGGGGACTCTCGGAGGCCAACGGTGAGTCAGGTGTGCGGGACCACCGCGGCGCAGGGGTCCGTGGCTGAAGGGGGGTGGGGTGTCTCACTTGGAAGCCGGATGGGGCTCCTCAAAAGTGGCACACGGGATGGTGGAAGAGCCCACCAGCTCTGGGAGGAGCAGCCAGGTCTCTGCCCGGGGTCCCCAGATACTCGCCCAGCAAGAGCAGCGCTGCTGCCTCCATCAGCAAGGAAAACACTATTTCTCCCTGTGTCCAGCTCTGGCAGGGAAGATACAATAATTATCATCTTCATCCAGAGCCTAAAACAAGTAACGTGACCAGCTAGGGGAAAAGCACTGAAATCAGAGGGGACTTGTCATTTGGGGACAGCTCTGTGGCGAGGAAAAAATAACTGCATGTTCGATCCAAAAGACTGTGATGCATCCTGGTGCTGGCGATGTCCCAGAAGCTGAAGCCGTCAGCTGAAAGCCCCAGGAGGAAACTGGCCTGGGAAAGGGGCTACGTGCAGCCGTCTGGCATCAGTCAAGCCCGAGGGCTGCACGCAGGAGCCGGCACACTTGGCAGCCGCCCTGAGAAACTCCATTAACAAACACACACATCATCTTGATAAATCACTTCTGCACTTTCTTTGAAGGTGGGAACCAAAACAAGGGAGAAGCAATTTTTCTCTGGGATTGCAAAGTCTGTCTGCAGAGGGATGCTGACCTTGCACCCACCGCAGCCCGGCCAGGGAGAGGCTGCCTGCGGTCCCACTCTCCCAGGCTTTGAGGATGCATGAAGCAAGGAAACCCTCTGGCCTGGCATTAATCCGGCTCCAGCAAACTGTCTGGCTTTGTTCAGGGGGACTGTCCCCCCATCCTCACCCCACGTCTGCCCCCACTTCCCTCCCCGCAGGGACTCGGCGGGTAATGACCACTCTCCAGCAAGGCAGGTTTGACTCCAGCAGGTTTTATGTCTAGAGGAGGAGAGCAGCGCCGCGAACGGTACAAGATTTGGGGGGTCACAGAGCAGCAGTGAGATGATGGGCACAGCACCCAGGGCTGCGCAGTGACGGTCACAGCCAAGCGTCATGCAAGGTGGCCAGGGAAGAGGGGCTTGCCAGGACTGGTGCTCTGCGCTGAGCCCTTGAGACGCCTCACCAGGCAAATGCCACAGGAGGATGGAGCTTTACTGGGGCTCATGGGACAGCCAAAAGCCCCCAGGACCAGCCCCTACCTGCTCCGGGACGGCACTGCATCCTCCTCAGCATCCCTCCCACACGCAGGGCTGGCGACTAAAAGCAGCAGTTGGCTCAGGTGGTCAAGCCGCTAAATAAGGAATCAAGATACCTCATCATTAAATAACAGGAATAAACTATTAAGGGAAGATTAAGGGTCTGGGCTGTGCAGCTTGGCTCTAGCAACACCTCTTTTCTGCATCTGCACAGGGACCAGACCCTGGACCAATGATTCGGGGTAGGAGTGTGCTGTTTTGGGAGCCGGGACCAGGCTCTGCCTGCCTTAAGGGGTTGGTGGCAAAGCTACAGGAGTGAGAACAGGGGGGACCTGATGCTCCCTGAGCAGCATGTGGGGAGGGAGAGGATGCGGAACGGGGCTACAGCTCAGGCTGGTGGGACTAGAAGCCCTTCTCGATGCTGAGCGTGCGGCGGGTGACGTGCTCCATCGTCCCCGAGATGTACTCGGTCAAGCTGATCTGGTAGTTGGCGAGCATCTTCAGCATCAGCCGCAGGTTCAGCCACCACTGCTCCTGGGGCAGCCTGTGCCTGCGCAGGGGGAAACATGGCTCTCAAGCGGCACCGAGGGAAACCTGGAAAGGTCCCCCGGGACCTGGCAGAGCATGGGGACAGAAACTTACTCAAAATCAGTAACTTTCTTGAGCTCCGTCACGGGGCTGAAGGCCACCACCTTCTTCCTGAGTCCGATCACGCAGGCAGAGTCGCCCGAGTTGGCAAACACACGTCCTGGGAGGGGGACACAGCTGACCATGGCCACCTTGCCAGGGGCCGAGTGGCTGAGTCCAGAGCAGCAGGGGCTGCCGACTGCCACCAGCCTTCCCCCACCTCACCACGGGACCCCCAGCCCTCAGCTCACCCTTGCGGTAGACCTCCTGCAGCTTCTCCGACATCCACAGCACTGCCTTCACTCCCAGCTTGGTCCCGTAGTTGCGGTCAAAGGGGGTTGGGGCTCCCCCCTGGGGACAAAGAAATGGTGATGTCAAGCCTGCCCAGCTCTTGGGGACAGTGGTGGCCCATATGGCCCTGTTTCCCGTACCTGCTGGAGGTGGCCCAGGACATTAATCCTGCAGTCAAAGATGCCTTTGCCCTCAGAGGAGTAGAGGTTGTAGAGAAACTCGGTGGTGTAGTGCTCATGGCACTTCTCATTGCTGGAGGGAGCAGAGGGGAGGGATTGGGGGGGCTGTTCCTTAATCTGGCATCCCTAGGGGGCCTCTCCGTGGTCCCCTAAACACCTTTTTTTTGCTGTTTTGTTCTCCCTGAGGCCCAGAGCCCCAGCCCATCTCCCCAGCAGGACCCTGGGGCTGGGGTGGGGACAGCAGCAGATGTGTCCAGCGCAGGACTGTCCCCCTGGCCAAGCGTGGCATCCTTGGGCAGGATGCGGTGCGCCCACCATGCCAAACACTGCTGCGCCCAGGGACCCTCTCCAGCCACATGAAGGGCTCAGCTCTGGCCTCGCTCCCTGCCATGGGGCTGGGTTTTTCAGCGAGCGTCCCCAGGGGTCCCCAACTCACCGCAGCACCAGCCCTCTCTGGATATCTGTCTTCATTTTGTCAGTCAAGTGCTCCACGTTGGCCTGCAAGATGAATGCCAGGATGCCAGCAGCCATCCTGGGTCCCTCTGGTCCTCTCATTTGGACCCAAGTGCCACTAACATCAACCTAGCAGCTTCATGGGGCTTGGCCGTGCTCCTCCAAATCCTGTCCTGCCCCAGAGCCCTCTCTTGCCTGGTTTTCCTTCTTATTTTACCCAAACAATGCTGCCAGAAAGCAGCCCCCTGCCCCGCTCACCTTCAGGTCGTGGATGGTGAAAGGATCTTCATAGACATAGGCGGCATCGGCGCCCACCGCGATGCCGGTGACGGTCGACAAATACCCACAGTAGCCCCCCATCGTCTCCACGATGAAGACACGGCGCTTGGTGCCTGAGGCCGACTGCTTGATGCGGTCACAACTCTGTGCCAGGAGAAGGCGGGGACCAGATGCTCGTTAAATGCCAGGGTGAGGGTCACACCAGGAAAACCCATCTTTGCTCCCTGCGACGGGATGCTGGCTCATTCCCGCATGTCATCCCAAAACATGGTGGGACCTGGTGGAGCGGGATGGCCCCGTGAGCTGCCGCCTGCCCTGTCCCTCACCTCCATGGCTGCATTGACGGCCGTGTCCGAGCCCAGGCTGAAGTCAGTCCCGGGCACGTTGTTGCTGATGGTGGCGGGGATGACGCACATGATGATGCAGAGCTCCTCGTACTGCCCGCGGGCCTCCACCAGCTGCAGCACCCCCTCGTAGGCCTGCAAGCAGCCGAGGGCTGGGGAAATGCCGGCCGCAGGGCCAGATCTGCATCCCAAAAGAGATGGCCCAGGGTGCCTGCACCACCTGGGATGCCGACAGCCTGCCCCGGCCCCCACTGAAACAGGGCTGAGGATTTTCCCCGCACCTCGAACCCCCCGATCACCAGCAGCCCCTGGATGTTGAATTTCCGCACGTTCTCCACAATCTTTTCCATGCAGGTCTTGGGCAGCGTCCTGCGGCAGGGAGGAGAGGGGAGACCGCGGGGTGAAGACAGGGGGTCCCCACGATCCCTGGGGACAGCGGTGTCCCCTCTGCTACATCCCCCAGCCCCCCAAGGGATGTGCTTACCGCTTGGTGCCCAGCATGGACCCGCCGCGTCCCAGCCAGCCTGCCACGTCGTGCCAGCCCACCTCACGGATCTGCAAGCAGCAGCACTCGGTTTTGGGGTGGGGAAGCACCCTACCACCCCCCTCCAAGCCCAAACCCGTCCCCCTGGGAAACCCATGGCACGCAGGCTTGCCATTCCCCTTACCTGCCCCTTGGACAAGCCCTCGAAGCCGTCGTTCACCACGTAGACAGTGTGTCCCTGGCAGATGCCAATCCGCACGGCTGACCTGACAGCAGCATTCATGCCAGCGGCAGGGGCACCCACGTTCAGGATAGCCAGGCTGAAGGGGCTCTGCAGGGACAGGGATGGGGTGGCATGTCAGTGCGTGTCCCCAAGGCAGGGACAGTGTCCCCTGCCACTCCCCCATCACTCCTCACCTTCTCCTGTGCTGGTTTCTGGTGTGCCAGCAGCTTGTAGATGTTCCAGTTGTTCTCAAAGCTCCTGCAAGGACAAGGTGGTGTGGCCCCAGGGCGTGGGTGAGGCCCTTCCTTGGCTGAAGGAGCAGCTGGTTTCCCCCCAGGGAGAAGCCCCCATCCCAGCATGTCCTTTTGGCCACCCCACAGGGATTTCTCCCCCCATCCTGGTCCCTGCTCCTCACCTCCCACGGAGCTGGATGGCCTCCTCAAACCTCTTCTCATCCATGGCCTTCTGCACATCCTTTGTCTTGTGGGGGGAAAAGATGCAGCACCATGATGCCTGCGCTTGTGGGGAGAGGAGTGGGACCCCCACCCAGCGGGCTGGCAGGCCTGATTCCTCCTGGTACTTACCACCTGGACGCACTCCATGAGCGGCAGCCGCACTGACTGGTTCCCCGAGAGGCTCACCACGCAGGCAGGGGTGTCCGGCGTGGCCTCCAGCAGTGCCATCACCGCCTCCATCCCCATCTTGCTGCTCTACAAAGGGAAAGGGGAACCCGCCGCCCCCTGACACCGGGGCCACCCATGCCAGCCGGGTGGGACGCTCCCCTGGGCTCACACAGGGATGTTCCCATGGGCTGGGAAACTGCGCAGCTGCTTGCATGCCTAATTTACAGCCAGAGAGCTGCTGGTTTTACTTAAAACCCCATGAAATTTGCAGCAAATGAGGGGAAATGGGTGCACGGCTCTGCCTGGCACAGTGGGGCTGAGCCTACAGGGACTGTCTGTGCCTCATCCCAGCTGGCAAGTCCTTTGCAACAGGCAGAGGGAAGGCAGGAGTGGGGTTCCCCAGCTGCCTGCTTCTTTCTGCAGGGTGAGCCCCCCGTGCCCCCCCAAAAGACCTACCAGCACCCGGTCAAAGGCTGACGGGGTCCCTCCGCGCTGCACGTGGCCGAGGACAGTGACCCGCGTGTCGAAGCCCAGGCGTTGCACCACCAACTGCGGAGCAGAGAGGACGTCACACCGGGGACCCGCTGGTCACTGCAGGTGCCGGAGCGGGTGCTGGAGCGAGCGCTTACGTCCTTCACGTAGTTGGAGGAGATGGGTTTGCCGCTGCGGTCAATGGCACCTTCAGCAATGATGATGATGTTGAGCCGCGACCCTCTGCTGCGCGTCTGGCGCGAGGGAGGAAAACAGCTGCCATGGCTTAGCCAAAATTTGCTGGTGGCTGAGCCCGAGCATCCTTTGCCCCCACCAGCCATAGCCCAGGGCGGGGTGGCTCAGGTTCTGGGCAGCCAAGCCCCCGAGCCAGCACTGCCCCTGGCACGCAAGGGCTGGATTTGCACTCGGCTGAGTGCCCCGTTTCACAGGGACAATGGTGGGAGCTCCCGAAGCTTCGCAGGGACCAGGCACCGGATGCGGGGCTCAGCCCAGGTCCCTGCAGGGACTCTCCAGGGAAAAAAGGGGGATGGCACCGTAGGAACCCCCTCACTCACCTCCCCAAGCCTCTCGCACATGAGATCCTCCCAGCCGTCTTCCGGAGGGGATTCGGGGATGAAGAGCCAGTCGGCACCCGAGGCCAAGCCGGACACCAGCGCCAGGTACCTGGCGAGACACGGTGGTGGCAGCGCTGGCCCAGGCCCCAGAATGCAACATCCCATCCCGCGGATGGGCTTCCCCACCTGCAGGGGCTTACCCGCAGTGGCGGCCCATCACCTCCAGCACGAACGTCCGCTGGTGGCTGCAAGGACACAGGTGGGAGGAGAAGGAGAGTGGGTGCGATGCCCCACCGTTGGTCGGCACCCAGCACCCAGACTGCTCACCTCTGTGCCGTGGTGGTGATGGCATCAATCACCTCCATGATGCGGTGCAGTGCCGAGTCAGTGCCAATGGTCATGTCAGTGCCACAGAAGTCATTGTCGATGGAGCCCACCAGCCCCACGATGTTCAGGCGACAGTTCTTTCGCGCCACCTCCTCACTGATCTGCCCTGTGGGGCGGACAGCCACGCCACTGGTTATTTTAGGGTGCTTCTGTCCCACCCCAGTATCAGGCCGGATCCTGCGGAGCAGCGACAGAGCCCAGCCCTCCCTGGGGGTCACAGTGATGGAGTGGACCTCAGGACCTCAAAACCCCTTGAATGCTTTCACTCTACCCACAGCAAGGATTTTGGGGATGGGGGTTCACGCACCATCCCGGGCCAGCTCCTCCAGCAGCCCGCCCCACTCGGAGCGGAAGATGTCGGCGCCCGTCAGGCTGCCATCCCCGCCGATGACACAGAGGTTGGTGATGCTGTGTTCCACCAGGTTACGAGCGGCCCGCAGCCGGCCCGCACGGGTGGTGAAGGCTTTGCAGCGGGCGCTGCCGATCACCGTCCCACCCTGGAGAGATAAGGGGGGGACACGGCTCGTCATGCAGATTTGGGGGGGGGATTTGGGTGTCCCACAGCCCCACTGGTGAAGCCTCACCAGCTGGATGATGTTGGAGACGCTGAGCCAGTTGGCTTGCTTGATGTTGTCTCCCCCCTCCACCAGCCCCTCGTAGCCCTGCAGAGAAGTGGGGAGCAGAGGTGAGGGGTACCCCGGCACGGGGGGGGATGGTTCCCCCCACCCGTGGCGGGGAGCAGGGGGGTACCCCAACCTCGTGGATGAGGAAGACCTTGGCCCCCACGTATATCCCCATGCGGGTGACGGCACGGACAGCTGCGTTCATCCCTGGAAAGGCGAGACGTGAGGCAGGGAGGCCCCCAGGGACCCCACGCCAGGGTGGGTGCCCCACAGGGGACCGGGTCCTACAGGTGACCTCCAAGTGTCCCCTCGAGTGGGGGGGCCCCACCGTGGGGGTTCTCCCGTGGGGCCCATGACCTCCCACGGAGGGTGCTCCAGGTGTGATGGGACAGGGAAACGCCGCGGGTGGGACGCACCGACCCTTCCCCCGTGGGGCGGGGGGAAACGGGTGGGCCGCCCGGGCCGCGTCCCCGCTGCACTCCCCGAGGCCCCACGGACTCTGCCCCCGCCACTCCCGCGGGGCCGGGCGGGCG